TTAAAAAATAATTTCTTAACCATTTCAATGGGTGGCTAAACCTTCTAGTTGCCAAGCTTTCCTGTTTATGACAGCCTATCAGATTTTAAATTATAATATTTTCTAAGTTGCCCTGGTGCATTTTTTAAATGACAAAATTCAGCAAAACCCTCTCCACCATGGTAAACAGAGGGAAAGTTGCTCTATCCAGTAAAAAATGTTAGCAAGGATCCCCATTGCCAGTTAGCTGATTTGGACCCAGAGTGATTTGGACCCTACAGAACAGGGTCGAACTGCTCCTTTGTGGCTCTGCGGCTGTGAATAGGTGTGGGTCCCAGAAAGCCTCATCTTTCTCCGGTGGAAGCCTTTGGTGGGTTACCTGTTCACCTTGCTCGTTGCCACCCAACCTGTCGCGCTCTATGCCCACCTCCAGGGTCTTGTGTTAGCAACAGCAGGGTTTCTTTACCTGGCACTGATCTGTGTGGAGGATCCCTGGTGGCCATGGGGTTACCAGTTGGACTGCTTACCCACAAGGTCAGTTTGAAGCTGCCACCTGCTCCTCAGGAGAAAGATGAGGTGTCTTGACTTCCCTCAAGAGTTAGAGTCTCAAACTCCCGACTCCGTTGTCTAGGGGCATCCACGCCGAGGCAGTGAGTGGATGTCCTGTCCAGCTAGGAGATTTGCATTCCTACTGCCCCTTACTGCCCCTTACAGACAGGAGCCCCAGTTGTAGCGAGACCAAGCCGTGTTAGGCAGGAGGAAACTCAAGCAAACATTCAAGCCAGCTGGGTAGTAAATGATAAAACTCAACCTCTCGTTTTCCACTTAAATGCATTCACCCATCAGGCACAACTACCTCCGTCCTCTTCCTGAACTTTAAGCTCAAAGTAGCCCTCAGAGATGATAACCCCCAGACCTACTGCCGTCAAGTTGACGCAGACCCGGAGTGAACCCATAGGACAGGGGAGAACTGCTCCCTTGGGTTCCTGGGTCGCGGCCACTTTTCACCAGAGCAGAAAGCCTCATCTTTCTCGGGTGCCTGGTGGGTTTGAACCCCTGCTCGTGTAGTTAGCAGCTCCGCACGTCAACCACGATGCCATCAGAATTCCTTCACAAACAGCACACAGAACCAAACTCTCTATCATCAAATTGGTTCAGACGCATAGCAACCCCGTAGGACAGGGGAGAACTGCCCCCCGTGGGTTTCTGAGGCTGTAATTCTTTATGGGAGCAGAAAGCCTCGTCTTGCTCCCAAGGAGAGGCTAGTAGTTTTGAACTGCCGAACTTGTGGTTAGCAGCCTACTTCTTAACCTGCTGCACCCCAGGGCTCCTCTCAGGGTTCCTTATGAGACACTAAACTAAGGTGACCAGATTTTAACATTGGTAAAGCAGGACAAAAGCGGGACACCATTGATAAAACTCATATCCTGGCGAAATAGCCACATGGCAGCCGAAAACCGTATACCCTAGCTTGTGCATTCTTTCAAAAAATCAGGACTTTTAAAAAATGCTGCGGGACACGGGACAAATTGTTAAAAATTGGGACTGTCTTGCCAAAAGCGGGACGTCTGGTCCCCTTACATCAAAAGCGGGACGTCTGGTCCCCTTACACTAAACCCAATGCCCCCACACACTGCCATCAAGTTGATTCTGACTCTGTGGTTCCATAGGACAGAGTCGAGCTGCCCCTTTGGGTTTTATAAATTTTAAATCCTCTGGGGAGCACATAGCCTCCTTCTTTCTCCTTTGGAGCAAGCTGCTAGCTGGGTTGAAACCGAAGACCTTGTGGTTAGCAGTTCACTTCTCTCACTGTGCCACCCAAAGCAGCAAAGCAAACACATGGAGGTGACTAGGACTGAGGGAGACCCTGTAAGATTTAGAACTGCCCCCATGAGTTCCCGAGAATGTAACTTTTACAGGAGTAGAACGGACTGTCTTTCTCCCAAGGAGCCGCTGGTGGGCTGACCTTGCAGTTAGCCATCTAGCTTGTCGCCACCAGGGGTCTTTCATGAGACGCTGAAGGCATCACAAATTGTTGCCAGGGCCACCAACAAACGTAAAAGCACTGCAGTTGTGTTCCTTTCAGGAGTGCACACCAAGTGTAGCGAGGCTAAGGTCATGGGAGGAGGTGGGGAGGATGTGTGATGACCAGATGGGATGTTCCGGAGCTCGGAGATGCAGAAACCATGGATTCTCCGGAGGGCTTTCCGTGTTTTCGGGGCCGTTTGGTGCAATGAAGAATTACAGGTCTTTGGACCACAGCCCACGTAGGCCCCCTTCCTTTCCCGGAAGGATTTATTTCTCCTCCAGCTTCTGTCTTAGAGCCTTAGTGCTGCTGTAGCAGAAATGCCACAAGTGGGGTAATTTTAAATAACATTTATTTTGTCACCAAGTGGAGGCTGAAAGTCTAAAACTGGGTCTCAGGTGTGTGTTGATTCCATCCTGTACGGAGTCTCAGGGTCTCCTTGGCTCCTTGATGTATAGAGAATCCATGGTATCTTGTGTGTGTGTGTGTGTGTGTGTGTGTGTTTAATCTGCTCTTTTGATAAAACGGATTAGGTTTAGAACCCACTTGACAGGGTCATAATCTCATTCACGTAGCAAAGAAAACTCTAATCCCCAATTATTCCCACACACTTTGTTGTTGTAGTCATTGGTGGTGGTGGTACGTGTGTGCCTGTGTGTGTACCAATTCCATCCGGAGCTTCTTATTTATATAGTTAGCCTGTGCTTTTAAAGGTCAGCCCAGCCATGTGGACATGGTCTCCAGTGCTAAATTCATGCTTGGAGTTCGTGAGGTTCTTTAGAAAGCTACCAGGTCGTCCTCGTAAAACTGTCAAACACCATCCTCCTCTCTTGAATGGGCGGCTCGTAGAATTGACATGATTATACCCAGAAAGCCCAGGCAACTTTCCAAATGTTTTCCTTCTGTGGAATGCCTGTGCTCAGGCCGTGGCTGAATCACAGAATTCCGGAGAGGGAAACAGCCGCTCGGAGGATGAGGTGTGAAGGAGAGAGTATCAATGGGAAGATCAGAAAAGCACGAAGTGTTGAAGGGAAGACAGAACAGACCCAGGCCTAAGTTCTGTGCCCAGAAACAGAGCAGCTCGCCACAGGCAGTACCGACTAGAAACATCTCTGTGAACGGTCCTCGGTTGGCCAGGCTGCCGGATGTACACTCACAAACACAGGGACTTCTTCCCTCCACTCCCCAGTGAAGAAAGATGAGCTTTCTTTGAAGGCCTTCGGCATCAGCTCAGCTGCCCTCTGGGGAGACCCTTCCCCTCCCTTTGGGACAGGAGGATCTGAAGAAAAAGTTACGAACTGGAAATTGAACAAGAGACTGGAAAACACAACTAGATGTTGGCTGGCCAAGGTAGAGGAGGGTGTCCGCATGGCCCAGGCCAAGTCTGTGTATAGCGATTAGAAAGGAGCCTTGGAGGGGCCATCCTGCCTAGCCTAAGTAGGTGCTATTTGCTCTTTAAATTACATGTGCCTCTCACGTCCCTCTGATTCCCTTGTGCTGGTCAGTTTTCATTTTTCACTTAACCCCCTCCAAGGTCTTAGAAAGCCTCTCGTGGAATTCTGTATCTATATAAAATGAAGGTCCTTGGGTTAGACTGGGTTGTCTAGAGAAATAAGCCCAGTGGCATGCATCGAAGTATCAGAAAGAGCTTCACATCAGGAAGGAATCATATAGCAAGAAGGCATCCCGACTCAGTCCCACTCAGGTTCAGCAGGCTGACGCTAGTCCGAGTCTCTCTTCAGATTCACGGTGTGCTGGCGATGCAGAAAGGTGAACTGGGAGCCAGGAAGGTCATAGACCGGTGGGTCTGGACCGAGTCATATCGATCCAAGCTCTGTGGGAGCACGACAGGACCCTGGCAGCTCTCAGGGTCAGGAAGCTCACGTGGGGCCACCCCTCGAGGCAGGCCGTTCCAATAGGGAGCAAGTCAGAGGAGCAGAGAGAGAGGTGGTCTGTTTGTCTTGCTCTTATACAAAAGGCTTATGACATCCAGGAGGTGCCAGCAGGCTGCGAGTTGATTGACAGGGTTGACTCCACCCCCAGCCAGGAGTGTCTGATTGATGTGCTCCGACTACCAAGGGACTAGAAGAACCTTTTCCTCCAGCTTTGCCGGTAGATACTGATCTCTAGTCTTGATAAGTTTTCCCCACCCAAGGAGGCAAAATTAAGGAGCTTTTCCATTGACCTCCAGCTCTGATGTGCTTCTGGTGGTTTTTAGGATGGAGGCTTGTGTACTTCATCCCTTGCTTCCACCTCGACAAATGAGCGGAACATCCTGACAAGGGCAGGAGGGAGCTCTTCACACATAACCCTCCCCATGTGCTTAATTTTCAAGTCCTTGGTTTGCTACCAGAGGAGAACGAGATCATTTGCCTGAAATCGCTGACATTCTGTGTTAATGTCTGCCACGCCCGCCCCCCCCCAGCCCCCCAAGCTACAACACTTACACATTTTGGTCCCCTCGTGTGGATTTACTTTGTTGATGGAATAGTCATTTTTTGCCCTTCCTGGGAATTCTGAGGCGCCCCAAAGAATATCATCGACAGACGGCTGGGCTGTTGACTACCCCACCGAAAAAAACTTTGCATCAGGAGCTCGCCAAGAAAGCGTAAATGTGAAAGCCAGACCACTGTAAAAAAATAAGATTCGAAAAGAAATCGTGCCATCTATCATAGGCTTTTTTTTTTAACCTCCACTAAAATCCAATTTATGGAAATAAAATGGCCAATAAAAGTACTCTTTGGCTTGGGAGAGTCAACCTCGTTTCTGATGCTCTCTAGTCCAAAAGCCATCCATCTCTCTGTTTAGAGACAGTGCAGCCAGATGTTTTAAATCACAGGGGGACGAATAGGGGAAATTTCAAGAAAAAAGAGAAAAGGTTGGCGTAAACAGGGCTTAAAAATATGAAAAATGTCTGCCCATGTTGCCGAGCCCTTCTTATTATTTCCTCTTCCTTCAACCCCTCACAGGAATAATCCTGCGGCAGGCCTGACTTCCCGGACCTGACCTCAGCCCACCGTCAGAACCTCAGCCAGCGGAGCTTTCCCACCGTCCTAGGCCAGTTGACTCTCTATGGAGATGAAGTTCGACCCTTCGGGGTCTGATGGAAATTCACTGTGACATTCCAACCAAGAGAACGTGCTGAAGCCCACCGAGCCCTCTCCCCATGGGCCCTGATGGTAGCCCCCCGAAGGTGCAGCCTCAGCTGGTCTCCCTTCTTCTCTGTCAAGAGTAAACTTTGGGTCTGGGATCGCAGCGCCACCTGTGGAGAAAATGGTATGCGAGGGAAAGCGCTCAGCCTCTTGCCCTTGTTTCTTCCTCCTGACGGCCAAGTTCTACTGGATCCTCACCATGATGCAAAGAACACACAGTCAGGAGTATGCCCATTCCATACGCTTGGATGGGGACATCATTTTGGGGGGTCTGTTCCCAGTCCACGCCAAGGGGGAGAGGGGCGTGCCTTGTGGGGAGCTCAAGAAGGAAAAGGGGATCCACCGGCTTGAGGCCATGCTTTATGCAATCGACCAGATTAATAAGGACCCGGAGCTCCTGTCCAATATCACGCTGGGTGTCCGGATCCTTGACACGTGCTCCCGGGACACCTACGCGTTGGAGCAGTCGCTGACCTTCGTGCAGGCCTTGATCGAGAAAGATGCTTTTGACGTGAAGTGTGCTAATGGAGACCCACCCATTTTCACCAAGCCCGACAAGATTTCTGGCGTCATCGGTGCTGCAGCCAGCTCCGTGTCCATCATGGTTGCTAACATTCTAAGACTTTTTAAGGTAGGTCAAGGTGTTGTCTTCCCTCATTCTTGCGGATGGTTCATAAAGCGGCAACGAGGGCAAGTTGGAGAAGGAAGTGGACACAGGGCTCATGCCCCTCGCTCCTTCTGAGTGTCGCCAGGGTCCTCGGACCGGAGATCTATGTCCAGGTTTCGATAAGTGCTGATTTCCTGCCGTATCGACAATGCCTTAGATCAGTGGTTCTCAACCTGTGGGTCGCAACCCCTTTGGGGGTGGGACGACCCTTTCACAGGGGTTGCCCGAATCATAACAGTGGCAAAATGACAGTGATGAAGTAGGAACGAAAGTAATTTTATGGTGGTGGTGGGGATCACCACCATATGAGGAACTGTGTGAAAGGGTTGAGGCACTAGAAAGGTGGCGAAGCACTGCCTTAGATGAACTGTGGCTGGCTTCCCCCACCCCACCCCCAAACAAAGAGAAAGGTGATCATCTTGGTGGCATGTGGAGTTCCAATTTCAGTGACGTGTTCAGTCCCCGGCATCCTGGGGTATCCGCCTTCTTTAGGCTTGTTTGAAATCAAAGCCCGCATTTACTGGAGGGCTAAGCACAGGTAGCGTGCACACACATTTCTCCTCACTGAGGTACGAGTTCATTTGCTTGATCAAGCTTCTTTCATAGGAGGGTGGGTTATGACGAAAGTTCCTGCCTGGAGAAACTATTTGTTACTGATGGGGAGATGTGAGCGACATGTCTGGAGATAAGAGGGTCATAAAATTGTCAGCTGTATTATAACTATAATAGACTAGAACTTCACTAATTCAGATGGCTCGGAGGCAGACTTGGAATACTTATATATGTAATTCGTTTTGTGTTAAAGTTTGCATCTAGCAGGGTGAGTTGAGACTTTGATTTAAGTTTGATCATCTGTTGCCTAGAAATGTAGTGAAACCAACTGGCAAAAGGTAATAACTGGATGGCAAGTGCCATGGAGTTGATTCCAAGTTATAGCGACCCTGTGGGACAGAGTAGAACCGCCATTGTGGGTTTCTGAGACCAACTCTTCACTGGAGTCGAATGTCTGCAAAACACACTGAAAAGTATAAGGCCTCATAGGAAAGTACTGCAGCTCATAATTTTTCACTAGGCTTCTTTCTCCTCTTATGTCTTAACATCTTTCACATCGTTTCTAAAAATGAACCCTGGTGACACATGGACCATTAAGAATTATTTTGTTGTACAGTGTTGCTTGGTTTTGCTCTGTCTTGTTTTTATGCATGTTGTCTCCGCAGGCCTGTCTGGATAGGACAGGCTGGATGAAC